TAACAACGATGTGCATTTACCCAACGAGTTTTCCCAACGATGGGGATTTGCAACAAACAACAATTGAATTCAATCGTTCACAAATTACCTGGCACAACCTTTTGCTGATTGACAGGGAATTCACGCCGTCGGGAAGTATTACTGCAGAAATTGACAATTTCAGACCCGGAAGAAAATAATGTTCTATGAACTTAATAGTGCAGTGATACTTCGATAGAATAGCATACTTTTTTTTCGAGGCGCTTAATTTTCACATTTTTTAGAAAATGGAGCTCAAATTTGATTTTCCTCAAAGCAATACTTGTCAATTTAGGACCCCCGAAGTTAATAAGATACACAGCGTATAAAAATTAATTGCTTTTTTTGTGAATATTTCATCTATCTTTCTATGATATATTTAAATGCGGGGCTTCACTATCTCGCCATGGTTTGTTTTAAAGCGAAATTTTTGCATGTTTAACAGAATTTTTTTTTTCACGTTTAGGCGATATCGTGTATATTGCAATGGTTAAGTTTTTTATTCAAATTTCTTGTTTCATATAAGTGTTTATTTCACCATGTTTGAATTAAGGTTGACGAGATACGAAGTCTTTTAGGATTTTTCAAGTTTTCAGAAAACCTAAATTGAGAAATCTGAAATTCCCAACACTGTATTTGGCTGCTGTCAGGGTACACTCAGAGGTTGCGAATCTTCAAAATGTTTTTTCAAATAACTTAGAATCACAAAATTTGAAGTCAGGGCTATCCTCTATGAAAATACCAGTTTTTAGTTTGAAGGGTTTACTCCTGGTAAAATTTTCGTTTCGGTTCAAACATAGCTAATTTTGACTATCTGCAATAAGTTTTTCCAACGTTGTGGATTTGCAGCAAACAACAATTGAGTTAACTCGTGCTCAAATTACATGGCACAAATTTCTGCTGATTGACAGGGAATCGTCGCCGTTGGGAAGTATTACTGTAGAAATTGACAATTTCAGACCCAGAAGAAATTATTGTTCTGTAAACGTAATAGTGATACTTCGATATCATTTCTTTTTTTCGAGGCGAATATTTTTTGCATTTTTTTTCCAAAACATGAAGCTCAAGTTCTGTTTTTCTCTCAAACAAAGCATACTGGTCATCTTAGGACGTACCCCCAAAGTTAATAAGATACACAGCGTACAAAAATGTATTCCAGCTTTGTGAATCTATCATCTATCTTTCTATCTATACTATATTTAAATGCGAGTGACAGCTATCTCCCATGTTTGAGCATAATAATGCTGCTTGTTTAACGAAAGAATTTTTTCCATATTCAAGCTATAGCATATATTGCAATGCTCATGAAAAGAAAATTTTTCAATTAGTTTTCCGCAAGGTCAATAATTTTTTAGTATTTTTTTTTCGAGGCCAAATTAAGTCTGTCTGTCTGTATACCTGCTTTTTCATTCATTTGAATGTCTGTCTACCCCTCTACTATTTTTTTAACTTTGGTTTCGTCGATTCAGTTCGAAATAATGCTACTGTCAAACGGTCTCCGATTCTTTCTCTTAATCGTTATCTGGATTTTCTATCTTTTTTTCTTTCTTTTTTTCGATCCTTTTTTTTCGATCTTTTTTTTCAATCCTTCTTTTGCTATCTTTTTTTTTCTATTTTTGTTTTCAATCTTTTCGATCTTTTTTCTTCTTTTTTTTCTCTTTCTTTTTCTATCTTTTTTTTCTATCTTTTTTTTCTATCTTTCTTTGCTTATTTTTCGATCTTTTTTTCAATCCTTCTTTTTGGATTTTTTTTCGGTCTTTTTTTCAATCTATTCGATATTTTTCTCCGATCTTTTTGAAATTTTTTTTTCTAACTATTTCTTAGCTTTTTTTTCGATCCTTCTTCTTCGATTTGTTTTTCGAACTTTTTTCCTATTTTTTTCTATCTTCTTTTCAATCCTTCTTTTTTGATCTTTTTTTCTATCTTTTTTTAAAAATCTGATCGATCATTCTTTTTCGAGCCTTCTTTTTCGATCATTTTTTCATCCTTATCCTTTTTCGATCCTTCTTTTCCAATCTTTTTCTATTCTTCTTTTCGATCTTATGTTCTTATTTCATGATTTTTTAGTTCTCCTTTCTCTTAATTTTTTTTCAATCCTTTTGCGATTTCTGTTTCAATCCTTCTTTTCGATCTTTTTTCTTTTTTTTTCTTTTTTTTCTTTTTTTTTATAAATTAAAACTTAAATTTTGATGTAATTTTTGTTTTCAAAGTTTGATTTGATTTTACCTTATAGTTGGGTGCTGTCAGGGTACTCTCATGAGCTGAGAATCTTGCCTCCAAAAATGACTGCTCAAATTCTTGGAGTTTGCGAGATATGACGTTTTTTTGAATGATTTAAAAAAAAAAAATTTCAGAAAATTTAGTGAATTTTTTTCTTCTAAATTTGAATTTCCTAGCCCTGTTGTTGGGGGTTATCAGAGTTCTCCGGGAGTTGCGAACCTCGCCTCCAATTATGACTGCTGAAATCTTTATAGTTTTCGAGATATGACGTTTTTTGTGATTTTTTCAAAATAATTTTCAAAAAATGAATTAATTTTTGTTTTTAAAATTTGAAATCCTTTACCCTGTAGCTGTGCGCTGTCAGGGCACTCTCAGTGGTTGCGAATCTTACCTCGAAATATGACTGCTCAAATCCTTGTAGTGTTCGAGTCATGACGTTTTTAGCGATTTTTTCAAAAAGTTTCAAAAAAATTGAATTATTTTTTCCAAATTTAAAATTCTTAACCTTGTAGTTGGGTGCTGTCAGGGTACTCTCAGGAGTCACAAAGCTTGCCTCCAAATATAACTGCTCAATTCCTTGTAGTTTTTGAGATATGACGTTTTTTGTTTTTTTTCGAATAAATATCAGAAAACTCTTAAAAATTTCAAATTCCTTATGTAATTGGGTGCTGTCAGAGTACACTAAAAGCCTGCAGATCTGGTTTCCACTATATGTTCTTTTTCCTGAGTTGTCAAAAGTTCGAAGCACCGGTGGTGCGTTATACGCTTGTTATATATTTAAATGCGGGGCTTCACTATCTCGCCATGGTGTATCTTTTACAGCGTATTTTTTTTACATGTTCAACAAAAGATTTGTTTTCACGCTTAGGCGATATCATATATTGCAATGATTAAGTTTTTTATTCAATTTTCTTGTTTCATTTAAGTGTTTATTTCACCATGTTTGAAATAAGGCTGACGAGAAAGACTTCTTTGTTGGGTTTTTCAAATTTTCAGAAAACTATATTTTCAAAATCTGAAATTCCTAACCCTGTAGTAGACTGCTGTTAGGATAAACTCGGGGGTTGCAAATTTTGAGCAAGTATGAATCTACAAATCCTTGTAATCTGTCAGATATAACGTGTTGTTATGATTTTCACAAAGGTTTAAAACGTTCAAAGTTTTTGATCTTCCCAATCGTGTAGCTGGGTACTGTGAGGGTACTCTCAGGGTTTGAAACTCTAGCGTCCAATTGCAACTGCTCAGATGCTTTCGGTTTCCAAGCTGTGACGTTTTTTTTTGTCTTTTTAAAAATTTTCAACTAACTTTGACTCACCAAATTTGAAGTTGCCATCTCTATAACGAGGTGCTATCAGAGAACTTTCAGGCGTAGCACGTTTTGCCATGAATGCACAATTGCTTTAAATTACCGAGATTTGACGTTTTTTAAAATGAATTTTTCAAAAATTTTCTGATATCGCAGATATAAAAAATTTCACAGAATTTGAAATTCGCAACACTGTAGTTGGGAGTTGTCGGGGTATTCTCAGAGGTTGCTATTCTTGCTTCTAATAGTGACTGCTCATCAGCGTTTGATTCCCTGACATGACTTTTTATCCAATAATTAAAAAAATCCAAACACTTCTGAAAAAAAAACTCAACAAAAATTGAAGTTCTTAGCTCTATGGTGAGATGCTGTCAAGGATTTCACAGGAAGTTTGTATATGGACTCACAGTATGACTGCGTAACGCATTTTATTCCTAGTTATGATGTTTTAATAATTTTTCATAATTTTTCAAGAGTAAGGCTTCATAAAAAATACTTTCAAAGTTTGAAGTTGTCGACGCATCGGTGGGTTGAATTCAAGTTAAACCAGCAGTTGCAGATTTGGCCTCCATCCTAATTTTATCGCTCAATTTGTTTAAAGTTTCGAAATTGACGTTTTGATAATCAAAAGTTTTCATTAAACTAGGAAAAAAGTACGTTGTTTCTAAATTAATGCTCTGGATATATTTATTGATTGCATCAAATTATATACCTAATGGCTAAGGAAAAAAGAACTAAGTTAAACAGGAGTCTCATTTATGAATTCGGTAATTCTGCCAATGAACTCGTTTAATATGAAAAGTCAAGTTGCATGTTAACGGCCATTTTTAGTTTTTTTTTTCTTCTGATTTTAGGGTTTTGTTTAAAACGAAGATCTGAAATCCAGTAGTTTTAGAGATTTGATCATTTTAATTCAAAATGAACTTTTTTTGATTTTTTGTTGGGTTTTTGAAATAAAAAAGCGCTGTAAGATGCCTTCGTCTATTCTTACAGTTTCAATCATTTCGTTTCATAAATTATATTTATAAGCAGTTTTCACGTTTGTTCACTGATCTGTTTAAAGCGCCGGAGGTGCGTTACACGCTAGTATTGCTTAATTATTGAGATGCTGTGCTGTTGCAATTGTTCAGAAATTGATTATTTCTACCGTCGTAAATTTTGAACTTCAATTGCGTAGAAGTAACGTCTACACGTTTGCACACAATGTGTTTCAAGTTCAACACGGCTATTGAAGAAATAATTTGTGCCCATGAATGCATTGGTAATTTTGCAGTGGTTTGAGATCAAAGTTTCGAGTTAATTATTAGCTTTTCGGATTACCGAATCTCGACGGAGGGATCTAACTTATGTTTGAGTTAGGCCATCGTTGAAGTTGTTCAATTATTAGCTCTTTGTTAATCAATATTTGGGATTTGTAAGGGGCTTTTGGCATAAGGTTTTCTAGTTCAGTTTAAAAATGGTTTTAATCAAGGACACTTATTTCCAAACGACAAGAAGTCATACTGAAGATACGATTGATAGAACCTATAATTTAGAGACTCGAGATGATGATGTATTCCTGCTATCTTATCCCAGAACTGGAACGACCTGGACTCAGAACATCATGCTGGCTCTTAAACGAGACACAGAGTTCCTGAAAGAGGTCACGGATGGCGAGACGCTGGCTCATCACTTTACATTCCTAGAACTAGTATCCCACTTTTTCACGGAACCTGTGGATGTCAGAGTCGCGAGGCAAGAGTCCCCGAGGTTCTTTAAGACTCACTTGCCTGTACAATCGGCGCCCAAAGAGATCCAAGAGAAACACCGGAAATGCGTGTTTATATTTCGAAATCCGAAAGACTGCGTTATCAGCTTTCACAAGTTTTACCATTCGAACGCTCGGCTTGATGCGCCAGAAAGTTTTGACTCTTTCGTGAAAGAGTTTCAGGATGGAACTGTGAACTACGGCGGCTACTGGAATTGGTGCAAATACTGGTTCAATTATATCAACAAGAATCCTGAAACATGTTTCGTGATGTTTTACGAGGATTTGTTAGCTGATTTCGACTCCAATGTTAGAGCACTGGGAAAGTTTCTGGGCTTTGAACCATCGGATGAGAAATTAAAGGCAATTAAAGAGGCAACTTCAATTGAGAGTATGTCTAACAGGATTCAAATTTTTGATTCGTTCATTGGACAAGGACAGTCAAAGTCATACGAGAAGAAACTTTCAAAGGAAGTGATTGATGATTTTGACAGACGGACGCGGGAGAGTCTCTCGGACACTGGATATCTTGACAAGTTTCTGGTGTAATGATCATATCGAAATTATTTGTATTGGGGTCATAGTTTATTATATTCAGATAATTAAATATATTTTCATTCTTAATTACACTTCGAGAGCAAGTGTCTTGTAATTGGGAACTAGACTTTTTCCGAAAACAACCTTTATTCCAGAGTTTCAATTTGCTTTAATTTTGAATATTAACAATTTTTAAGTTTTTCGCTCTTCGCCTTGAGGTAACTGCGTCACCATTGCACCCCAATATCTGGTGTTCGACTCCCGGCCAGACCTTGTTTTTTTTTCAGTATGTATGCAATTGAAAATTGTTTTCCGGTAAAAGTTTAATTGTCCGATTTTCGTTTGTCAGCTCAATTTTTTTGGCCTTGTTGCCGCATCACAGTTTTTATTTGTGCTGTAAGGAAGTTTCATTTGTGTTCTGTATTGTAGTTTCAGGGGGTTTGAAACTTTTAATATTTTTTATAAATATATATTTTTTCCACAACTGGTGTCTGCCCAAATATTGCCGGCTTAGATGCCACACTACGGATTTTAATTGTACTGTAAGCAACTTTCATTGTAGTTTCAATTGATAGTATCATAGTTTCAGGGAGACTTTTTATTTTTTTTTAGAATTTTTTTCAGGCTCATAATTGTGTCTTTTCTAAGAGTGTCGGCTTTGTTTCCTCTTCGTAAGTTTTCTCCATTGCTAATGTAATATATTCATATGTCAGGCATATTTGACTTGAGGGAACTTCTATCGCGTCATACGAAATTGTAAAATTTGGTAGACCTAGCTTTTTTCGACTAGTGTTTTTTACGTTTGGGTTGAATCGCAAGTGGTGCAAAAATCCGAGTCACGTCTATGCTTATATTCGTTTCTGTGACCCGTCAAAATTTATACGCATTTTTGAATTAAGATTAAAGCTTTATGATACTTGATGATTTCTTTTCAGAGCTTTGTTTCGATTCATTTCGAAACAAAACGAATACAAGTGGATATCCAACTCTCTTTCTCGTATTTCTTTCAGAGCTTCAGCTGTTCTCTAACAAGTTGCAAAAAGAAAGAAAACATAAATCATATTAAAACGAGCAAGCAGCAAATTTTGATTGATTTTCGCATGCAAAATTTAAGTATTAGTTGAACTTTTTGTCTGAAAAATAAGATTTAGCGTTTTGAATTGTCTGAAATAGGTCATTTGCTTTTTACATTAATTTTGTCTGTTCCAAATTTTTGCATTTTTTTAATGAATCTTAAGTTTAAAATGCATGTTAGGATAACCGATGCATGTTAGGATGGGTTACTGCGCTTAATTTAAATGAAGATCAAATAAGGGAGCCTATGAAATGTTTGTTTATCTTAGACATAGAGTGGATCTCTTTTAGCATTTCCCTTCTTTGGTTCCTAGTAACGAATTGCCACACCAATAATGAATTAGTTCAACGGTTTAAACATATGCGATTTTGTACCTACTAACGAGTCTTCCCTTTTGCGAAAGGGCAAATAGTTAAAGAGATCCTTCACAGTCTGTAATTTGAAGTACGTCGTCGATGTTTTGCTTACTGTATTGATGAAGTCAGCCACTGCTCCAAGTGCTTAAATAGATGGGTCTAGGACAACAAGCCGACGGGACTTCAGGCCGAAAATTAAACTTTACAAGCACCTCAAATCATTATTTTTTCATCTGTAAAACGTTGCTTGTCAAAATCGTAAGCTATTTTACTCCATAATAAGCGTTATTTATGACAAAGAATCACTTGGGATTGGCATCCGTTAATAACATCAGCCGTTTTTTGAAATGCATAAATTATAAACAAAAAAACTTACCATCAACCGTGTTTTATTTTTCAACTTTCCTAAACATCATTTGGAGGCTTAAATTTTATGAAAACGCTCATAATTACCGAATAAAGATCATGAAATTGAGAATTTCTTCAAAAAAAGTTTCAAATTAATCATATTTCATGACTTAGTGACAAAATTTTCGACTTGAAGTCCCTAATTTTCCGATTCAGCTTGAAGTCCCGTCGGCTTGATGTCCGGCACCCAAATAGATATGTTTGTTTTTAATTACAATTTTTTTTTTCAGAAACAGGTGATAGATCAGTTGATTGAACCCCTAACTCAGCGAGATTTTTCTAAACAGAATCATATAACTTACTTTTTAGCCGAATTATGTCATCAGCTAATTTTGCGCTTTTATACGTCAATCATTTGATTGTGTTAAGTCTTTTGTTCCTACCACGAAGGGGGAAGCAATATTGTACTCGGGCGTTTCAATTTGTTTTTCATATTTGTTTTCGCAAGATCGGATGCCACAAATAATTGACAGATACATTCGAATGAAATATCCTATTCAAATCAAATTCAATCAAACTTTTAAATTTGGTAAAAGATTGTTCCTTTTGAAATCCCGTTAACATTTCTTTTTGTAATAAACATTCGTGTATATCGCAAATAGTTTTGATTTTCTTGTACTGACAATTTGCGCTTGTAAACTGGTACAATTGTTGTTTTGTTATCTAGATACTGAAAGAAATATTTTTTAAAGCAAATGTAGTCGAAATGAAAAATACTTGTTTTTCAGGTCAACAACTCAATCTTTGGCGGTTTTTGATATTTTGAAACAATTTTTGGAAGCTTTTTAAAAATTGTCTTTGTATTCTGCTTTTTTTCCTAATGTTTAAATTTTCAATTTTTCTGTAGCAGCTTGAACTGATTGCATTAGTATATTTTAAAATTAAATTATATGCCATATAAAATGTTCAGATTTTCATCTTTCTTCACAAATGAATCTCTAGTCTGATTTGATTTTCTCAAATGAGCCGTTATGAATTGTAACGGTTTAAAAAAGAGTAGATCTTACCTACCTTATAATGTTTTTTTTTGGTAGATTTTTTTGTATCACAAGTGATGCAAAGCTCAGTTTCACCGCTGTGTTAACAAATCTGGCCAGCAGGTCCGTGGTTTGTTACTGGCCAGTGTCTGTTTTTTTTCAATATATTTTTTTTGCGTGACCGAAAAACTTTGTCGGATTTCTGATATTGGTTTTCACAAAGTTTGGGATTTTTGGAAATTTTTTGTCTCTGTGTTCTTCTTTTTTTCAGAACGTATTGCCATATTGTGGGGGAAAAAATAATTTTCTTTACCTGAACTATGGCGTGGAAAACATTGTTCCGATTTTTTTTCACAAATGTGTTTGCCTGGTTCAATTTTGTCAAGTGAGCTTTTTATGAATCATAAGGGTTTAAAAATATATAGAGCCAACCTTTGTTATATTTTGATTGTTGAAAAATTATGGCACATATTTGTTTTGCAAGTGGTGCTAAGGTCCGCTTCGCCTCTGTGTAAATAAATTTGATTCATGCGGAACAATTTGATAAATTTTTTGATCCAGCCAAACTTTTTTCCTGTTTAATTAAAGAAATTGTTTAGTTATGGATAGTTTCGCTCCAAAAATTGGTGGATTAACAACTGAAAAGTTGGTTGGAATATTCTTTTTCTGGACGTAACTAGTTAGCTTCAGAAGTGCTTTTTAGCGACAAACCTGGGCATTCTTTGTTTACAAAAAATAGGAAAATCGTTATCCTAAATCATGCGTTATAAAACCTCATAGAATAGTCATGAAATATGTATTTTCAAATGTTTTTATTTCAGATTTTTTGCTCGTTACACTAACGTGTTTCTCCCCTTCCATTGTTGAAGAAAGTGGGTGATTTAATGAGGATTTTCTTTGAATTTTGAACAGCCAACATCAATCGGCAAGATTGGAAAATTCGTTTTATGCCAGAAAGCATATCTTCTTTTTGTTCAAACAAGCACTTGAATCTGCAATAAATACAGTACAACTGTGACTGGTTACAATGTCTGGCTTCTGTGACCGGTTTTCCTGTGAGGACTGTTGCGAGGGAATCAGGGAAAGGTTCGAAGACAAGCGCAATATGGTGGCATCTGCAGTTAGTGGGGCTTTCTTCTTCGTCGGCTGGTGGATTCTGATTGACACTGCATGCACGTACACAAGTGGAGGGGAGCTGCACAAAGCATACCATATAGCAGGTTAGTCATTATAACAAATTATGGATCCCCCCTACTCCACCTCACATAAGCATCAACTTTGTGGTGTAACTGGGGGTTTTAAAAGGTCAAGAATGAAGACCAAACATGTTTCTCATGGCCTAATTAGTCCGCACGCCAAATGTGAACTAAAAAAAACACTGAAAATTTCGCAGGTAGGTTAAACTCAAAAGAGCCCAATTTTTTAGTCAACCAGCCCCGAGACCTAACCCGGTGGTTAGTTATTTAAGTTTTAACTAGAGCTCATTTGATTATGGTTAGCGCATTAAGCTATAGCTAACTTGTTAGCGCTCATCTTGAAAAGTGCAGCGAGATCGTGCGGTTTGAACCCGCCATCATATGGCTGCTGGGCACAATCACTGCCGAATGCGCCACAACGCTACAATTATTTCGTTTTGGTAATTTCAAGAATTCTGGAATTGAATCAGGTTGTATAGACAGTAGTTAACGATGGATCCTTTTTTATTGTAGATAGCGGTCTTATTAGAAGTAAGGACAGTATATTTAACGGCGTCGAGTTATTAAAAAACGAAGTAAGACTAAAAATGATACCAGATATGGGTAGTATCTTGAGATAGTAATCTTTTACCAGGGACCGAAATGATATATCGGTGACTAATTAGTTGATAAAAAGCAACCGAGGAGTATATCTATGATGTTTTCGAGATCTTGAAATTTATTAAAATTTGACCTGCAAGAAGTCACTTAGGCTGAAAATCCTGTCGGCTCGTTGTTGTAGATGTAATCAAAATCCATTCCATATTCCAAATGGTACAATTTAATCTGCTTTTTTAAATGTGAAAAACAAAACAAGTGATTATCTATCTTGAATTGTGACATATGTTTTTAGGTGCATTGGGCACTCTTTCCTTCTTCATGGTGAATGCCCTCTCCAACGGGGTCATCCGAGGAGATGTGGACACCTGTCTCAGTCCCATGGTGGCTCGCATCTGGCTATTCCTCGGATTCATGCTCGCGTTCGGGGCAGTCATCGCCAGCATATGGATATTCATTCAGGCAAGTCACGTCAAATATTAACTGATGTTTCTGCGATTCGCAGAGGATATATTAGAGGCTATCACGCCTGTCTAAGCATAGTCCGATTGTATTATTTTTACCACATTCCAGTACTTGGTTGAGCGAAGATCTGTTTTTGCGACTCAAGGTCATTTTTTTGCATCTAGAACGCTAGAACTTTCACGTGGTACCACTTTTGCCCGTCCTAACACACTATCATTGCCATGACAAGAGATCGAATACAATCTCTGACAATCTCAAACTGAACGCCCTACCACTCAAATCATGCAAATCCTGTCGCAGTCAGTTGTGAGTGGTACCAAGTAGCTGTTACGAACAAAAGCCGTAATTAAATGAAAATCAGTTCTGACATAACAGTTAAATGGAAATCAATTACAAATAAATACATTTAAATAAAAGTCAATTATGGAAAAAAGAATAAAATGAACGTGTTTGTTTCATTGAAGTGATCAGTTGCGCTAAAATTAGCTCCTGTATGGGATCGTTGCGTAAAAAAATAAACAACATTTATTGAGTTCGCCGCTAAGCTCGCTTTAGTAGCAATGGCAAACGTTTATTCAATCTAGTAAAACCTCAGTAATCTGTTGTTGCAAGATGGCGACTAAGATTTTAACAGAGCTTTGAATTATGTTCTTTCATGGTTGAGGCGTTCTAGTGGTTGCAAACTTATGATCGCCGAAATACATCCCGAAAAGATGAGTGGTCTGCTCTTTTGGACTCCCACTCTCCCACATCTGAATTTCAGTTTTGAAAAACGGTTTCTACGCTGTCATAATGGAACCAGTTTAAAACTAGTATTAATATCCAATATAAACTATCTCTATAAAATATTTCTGACTAACCAATCATGATCCATAACTAACACTTACAATAACTTACAATAGTTTCAGCAACAGAACAAAATGAATACAATTCAGCAAACAGTCGTTCTCCTTCAGAACAGTTTCTGTTTGATATCTTATCTCGCAAATACCAGTATTCACTAGATCTATTGAGACTAGGAGATAAAAGAGTAAGATTAGGATCGGTATTAGACTAAGAAGTTGCACGAATCTATCCGGCCGAAAATAAGATAGCGTGACGACCAGACGGTGTACCTTATCTGAAATTACCTCGTACATAACTGAATTGTTTAAAAACTCAATTATGTAATGAAAAACACTCCTAACGAAAATTTGGAATGTGTGTGTGTGGGGAGGGGGGAGGGGGGGGGGGTAGGTGGCGTGGAAAAGAGCCGAGTGATCTTTGTTGTTCACCAGCATAGTAAAGAAATAAATGATTGAAGAAATGCCAGATGAAAATAGTTTTTTTTTTCACGCGGCTATTCAGAAGTTAGCGTTTTATTGTCAAAAGCAGTCTTTTTTCAGGGATATGTGACCAAGCAGAGTCAAACTAATCCCCCTCCGGTGTGGGCGGGAATCGGAATTATGGCCCAGAATCTCTGCATTTTCCTCGCATCCTCCATCTACAAATTTGCACGAAAAGAAGAAGACAGCTCCTTTTAATTCATTGCTCAATTTAAAAACGAAGACGTAATCGAGTTTGATTAAACCAGCCGAAAATGCGCTTAGTGTGTAAGCCAGCCAAAGCTTACGTCATTTGCGAGAATCTTGCATAACTTTCGTAACTATAACACAATCATTACATAATTATTATTTAACTGTCAAGTATTTTTTTTTCGTCTAATTTACCGAGTAGCTGGTTTATACTTCGGCTTGTTTTTATATTGAACTATTTACTTGAGTTCGGATCTGTCACAGATACTGTGCCGAGATTTTTCTGTAGTTAAATGAGGCGTTTTATGTTTTGTAAACTCAGTATTGAATTTAGACTATTAATTAAAATGAACCTTCCCTTTGCTTTAAGAAAAAAGCAATTTGTAATTGAAATCTCAAATGTTTGTATTCTTTCTAGAACATTGCATCGGCTGTGAAGTCATGTTTAACCTGACCACAGGGGCGGATCTAGGATTTTCTCGAGGGCGTTGACAAAAAAATCGCGTTTTTTTTGGCGCGCGCTCCCCCTCAAAGTTAGCATATATAGGAGGTCGAATCTCTGAGGGGAGAGGGGTCCCCCCCTAAATCCGCCCCTGCCTGACCATACTATGTTGAAGTGCCGCAATGTATAGTGAGAAGGACGTTTGAATTCGGATGTTTTTCACCTCAGAAGTATAATCAGGGAAAATGTAAGTCATAATGGGCCGATTTATGGTTTTATACAGAACTCTTACAACCGCAATTCGAACCGCAATCAAAATTGAAACAGCTATCTTCAATTTTTTCATTTTAATACTGAAGTTTTTTTGGCGATATGCCCAGTGTCTTAAAATTATTATATAGAATAGTCTAAAAACTTGTATATGATGCGTTTTGATGCTGCACAACGGGTGTTTTAGCGAACTATTTTGAATCAATGTCAATGACTTGTTAAAATGGGTAATTACGAATGAAGTCTTGCATCATAGTGTAACATTATTATTATCTTATTATTTTCTTATTATCTCTATCCCAATTGTATTGGTGTACACAGATGCTGTTTACATTCACCTTACAATATCCTAGAGAACATTAAATTTCGTTCAAGGAGTAATGAACGGAGTGAGTACTCTTATAGAAATCTTGTTGATTTAGTTCATATCGTTTGCTAGAAGGAAGGCAAACTCCACTATCGAACAGCAAAAGTGAAAAGTTCACGAAAAACGTAATTGACTTCTAGTTTCGAAAATTAAATTTTCAGATTTACCAGCGAAGTATAAATATTTTCATCCAGTTTTCTCAAATGGGGTTGATTTTATCAAAAATGTGTCAATCATAAATTCGTCTAGAATTTCAAAGAGCGTTAAGGGCATCTAGTTTTTTGGAAGTTCGAAAGTGAGATTTTCAAAAAACAAGCCAATATTTTTTGTTTATTTTTTCTCTTTACTTGCGTTCATTGCAGTATCATTGAATGGAGATAATTTGAAAATTTGTATGGGATCACGATACTTTTTCCCCTTGCGATAAGCAAGGGTATTGCAATCGGTTACTAGACTTTTTCCCGTTTATAACTTTAGGCACAATATCTCCACTTCTAGAGGATATCTTCTGACTTGCTCAGTTGCTTGAAAATTCAAAACAAAGTACTACGTAGTTACTTAAGTAGTAATTAGTTCAAGCCCGTTTCAGTTTGTAATTATTTTTTCAAAAAAAATCAAATCGCAATTTTCCGGTTCGTGTTTTTCGTTCTAATTTTTGTCGGTTCATTTTCCGCCGTTTTTGAAACGCATTTTTTATCTGGTAAGGTTTCTATTGGTTTTTAAAGCATGGGTTTTGTTTCAGTTTAAACAGGTCTTTCTATAACTGAAACTTCACAACTTTGTAAATTTACCATGTCTGATTTTGAATTTTTTTTGTTCATCGTTTTTTTTTAAATATTCAAACAGTTTCAGTGTCTCTTATAGCGACCTAGTCAACTTATTTTGCGTTATTTCGAGGGCAAAATATATCCGTTTGGGATTTTGTGTCCAGTTTGGATGGGTCGGAAAAACTTTCAAATTTTATGAAGTTTTTTTATGACAACAGTTTTGTTTTGGCTCAACATGTTTCACCCAAAGTTTGTTGGAGCTCGGTAATTGATATCCTTTTTATAGGGCTGTCTATGAACTTCATCCGATACCAAATTAAGTTTTTGTAGCAGTAATTTTTCAAATTTTGTCAAATTATTTTTTCAAGTAATTTTTTCCAAATAATTTTTCAAATTTTTTTTTTGACTTTTTTCATTCACTATTTTGTAGCGCAATGTGTGTTTTGCTTCGCAAGTGTTGCGAAGTCCGCTTCGCATCTGTAGGAAAAATTTGCCCTCTTTATAGATAAAGGATATTTAAAAAGAACCATGAGACGAGTACGTGTAAAACAACTTTGTTGTAGAAAACATAAAAAGAAAGGAATTAATTTTTTGGACCAGTTTTACAGTAAGAATTGGAAGGTGAAGCAGATGACATTGGACCCTTTTGTCCAGGATTTTGGTTTGAACGTACGACATCCGTGTTCAAAAGAGCGTGCCTTGCCCATTCGGCTACAGCCGTTCCTAAGCAACATGCATAAAGCTGTTCGGTTATGGTTCATAATTGTTGAACGCTGCTATGTTTCAACTCGATGACAAAAATTGGTAACTTACCCAATTCATAATATTTTTGACAAACTGATTCATGCGTAGCGATGTCGTTAGCATTTGAATATTATAATCATGTCAAGTTTTATCAACAGATTTTTCTAAGTAACAGCTAGTGTTTCGTTTTCAGATACTAAAATGAGTAATTCTGTTTGTGTCAGCTGTGAAGACACTTTCCCAAACATCAAACTCAACCGATGCCAGAGCTGCTCTGAGAAACAAGATAATGCGGCCGTCGTTGAGTTTCTTTGCGAAGACTGTGTGATTGCACACATTCGTAAAGGCCATACGGTCGTGGATTCGAAAGGAAACGAACCATTAACATGTTCTAAGCACAGTTTAATCTGCACAGAATATTGTGCGACTTGCGACGTTCCGTTCTGCTTGAAATGTATTGGAAATCACAGCGATCACAAGTTTCAGTCTGTGGACGAAAAAGCGTCGGAAGTGAAAGCTAAGGTTTTCGAGATATTGGAGGAATTAGAAATGAAGGAAAAGCCACTGAGACTAAAACAAAAGGCAAATGCGGATGTGTATAGTCAAAACAAGCAACTCGTTCATGATTTGAAAGAGATGGTTAAAGAGGAATGTAAAAAATTGGAAGAACACCTGCTGCGAAAAATTGATGAAAAGTTGGAATTAAACAATGATTTATCCAGTGAATTGAAAAGCATTTATGAGAAGTTGTTGGATTTGCAGAAAATGACGCGAGAGTTGCTGAGTCAATCCAACCCAAGATTGCTGAAAGATATAGTTGCAACTGCTAAAAATGTACAGAATTTCGAACCGATTTACAATGATTCGATTGTAAAAGAAAGCAAAGTTTTTTCTTGTGATTTTGGAGATGCTCGGAAAGTTTTCGAAGACATCGGGGATACATTTGAGCAGCTCATAAAAACATCCAGAGGTGAGGTTTTTTATCTTGCGGGATTTGCCGGCTCTGTTATATTTAGAGTAGAAATTGTGCATCAATGTGAAATCAAAGTTTCTACTTTATCGGTTTCTAAAAATGGTGTTCAAAGTTCGAACGGCCCTGGATGTGTTGAAAGATTGACTGGTAATGTAGAAATCACTCATGTTTTCGATTGTGCATATGTTGGTTATTTAATAATCCTGCTGAAAGACAAATCTGCAAAAAAAATATTTTCTTCAAAATCGCCGTTTTGAACCATTTGATTACCCGCGATGTGCTAATTTCTTGTGGCCATATAATTTTCGGCACAATAATAATTCTGCTGAGTGGTCTTACTGGGATGCAGAGGCGAGGAGAGTTCGGTTCACTCACGACCAGAATATGAGTTTCGCCTGTGATCACTGTCCCAAAATCGAAATGAGCAGCTTTTACGACCATAATCTCTTCTTCATTGATCAGAACTGTGACATCATTGCTCTCTACCCAGCTAATGCTTGGACTGAGAAAATCAGCAAAGGAGTTCATCAGCTGGAATCAATTGACCATATTACTGAGTTAAATGAGAATATGCTTATGTGTTGGTCTGTAGCTACCAAGTCGGTTACGGTTTTGTCCACAGCTACCAATTGGGCGAACCCCATGGGAAACATGCATGGAGCATACGCGATGCAAGAAAATGTGGGGCTTATGCAAACACTTGCACCGCAGGGATTACGACTGGTCAATTCGACATATACCGTCCAACAGCGTTTTTCTTGGGAGAATAAACCAGAAGTATTTGCTAGCGGTATTCCAAAATTTCCCAACTTCTATCTGTGTCCCGTTTTAAAGCAAACTGACGAAAACCAATCAGTCGATAATTATGTGTTTGGAGCTTTTCTATTGTGATCTTTCCGTTTGTATCTAGCAGAAGAGAATAAAAAGAAGAATTTAATTACTTAATTTCTAATGTATGAATATTTTCTAATTGAAACAACTTCAAGTATACATGAAATTCTTGTTAATTTACGTAAATTTACCTGTAAAACACAATTTTTTTAATTTTCAATACGTTCCTCATTGTTTCGGCTTATGTTAAATCGGTTTAGCCACCTTGTATCGTGTCGTTTGAAGCGGTAAAGTAAAGTTAATTGTTTTTGTATGTTTTGGGGCGGTATGGTTTGCTATGAGTTCTTTTTGAAACTTAATAGCAAATTTTATAACAAATTTACTAAGTGCGGTTGTTTACGCAAGTATTACTGAGTCTCTTTAAATATCCTCCCTTTTGCTAAGTGGGAGATTCGTTGCTAGTTGCTAAATTCGCATTTGCTTAATCGTTGAGTGATTTCATTATACGGTTGGCAATTCGTTACTAGGTACCACAGGGGGAGGGGAATAGTTAAAGAGATCTATATTACCGACTTAGTGACCGGTCGCTAAGCGATACTAAATGCTCATTTAACGCTGTTGATTATGTTCTGTGCGTTCTTTTCATAAAATCAACGTCGATCAAGATAAAATGTTTGAAATTTTTGTATATGTAGTTTTTCAAATATTATTTGACTGTCATTTCTGTCTCAATTTCTTTTGACAGGATTGCAATGCTATCTATACTTGCGCTGTATCGCAAAAGTTCTGAAGCTCCTTTTTGCCTTTGTGTGAGAATACATTAACACGAAATTTCTTTTTCAAATGTAATCTATCTACTCAGTGAAGTTCCATATCCATATCATATCTGTTTATCCATCTCTAACTGAATATCAACAGAGTAAAGTTTATTTTTCCATCTGTTCTCGTGTATTATCAGAGTTAAAGTCATGTGGTTCTAAATAACTATAATTGTCATAGTTTTGAATTAAAGTTTGGTATCATCATTTTGATTCGACCCGAAATCGTAAACAAGACTGCTCGTATCAGGGTGAAGCCCTGAATGTTCCGACTGCCTTTTAAGGTTTATGGAGCAGCAGTAATAACATAAAAAATGAAATAAAATAAAATGAAATTTTTTTTTCTAAAATTGAAAATTTTTCATGAAAATCATCCCCCCACACGCCATATAAAGTACAAAAAGATAGATTTCGTTCCTTGTAACAAATCAATTATGGCAAATAAGCTTCGTTCAACCAATTTGGAACGATTTATAAGACGGATTAAATCTCTGCTTACGCGTTAATAGCGCGAATTATATCGCGCGTTAATTGTCCCAAATTGGTCAAAATGGCAATCTTTAAACCCTCATAACTTTACGAAAAATGATCACAGGTGAAATATCTTTTCAAATTCAAGCTCAAGACAACAATACATTTTGAATGATATAAAAAATTCTGTCAAAAATGGCTAGTTAAAGAGTCGAAATTTGTCTGAAGAAAAAAAAACCCACCCGAGCACAAATATTCCGTTACTTTCGTATCGAAAGTCTGAACAATTACGCTAACAGACGTTTAGAGAGCGCTAGCATTTGCCTCCTATAGTTTTGGAATGTCTGCCAAGTTTTTCGTGAAGTTCAAACATCCGTTGATGGTAAGCTGGTTTTTCTGTTGTTCCGAAAGTTGATTTACTTTCGCGGTAGAAATGAGATTTTTGGTCCTCATAAAGATGTTTACGGGCAACAGATTGTTGTACGTGGATATTGCTTCTAAAACAAATAAAACAAAGTTTTCTGTTTGATCTGCTTGGAAAGCATGAGCCATTTGCTGGAATCAACTTCGGCTCTTTTCCAGTTCCCCCTTTAGTTTTTTTTCTGAAATTAAATATATGAAAGTCTACTTTAAACTACTTTTCTTGTTCTTCAAAACGTGTCAGCGTGAACTAGTGAACAAATTTTTACAATTTTCTTACAAGCAAAATGACGGTGAAGAATTTTTGAATCGCTTAATTTTTAATTTTACGAGGGGGCTGGGAAACTGGAAAAGAGCCGCAACATCTAAATGAACGAACACAAAGTGACTTTTTTACACTAGCAAGCATAGTGTTTTATTACGAACCTTCTTTTTTTCCCATCTAACTCGCAATTAAAATTGCTCATTTGGTGGCTGAGTTGTTAGTACTTGAGACTCCTAATCTCTAGATCGCAGGATCGATTCCGACACATAGCTGAATTTTAGCTGATTCTGGGCTTAATTCTAAATTTTTTTTTCACTTTATAGAGCTACTTTTTGACGTGTCTTGCTAGTATTTGCCAAACGCAGCTGCGCTTCTGTGTACACATTCCCTCCTCCTAAACTATTCAGTTTCTCTAGATCTTTCTCTTTTGAACTCAAAAGAGCAAGTCCAAAACGAAGCCTGGTAAAATCTAAAAGTTTGAAATAATTTACTTGGTAAAAATTTACTTCTTGGAAATGGAAAACAATTACTTCTGGAGAATACCTTGACAATATCCCACACATAAATTAAGTTTTATATGTTCTGTCTTTTTGTGAAAATATCTTCATAAATAGTTTTCTTATCTCTAAAAAATAGGTGCTCAGAAGTCATTTTAAGCAGTTAAAAAAATTTGGTCCAATTCGATCTGTTTTGGTGCTTGTTTTGTCATAAAGTTCTGTAATTTCTACGAAAAAAAAGAAAGAACGAATTTATTTCTTCAATTGTATAAATTGAAAGATATGCAAACAGTATCAAATTTTTGTTAGACTTTACTGTTCCGACTTTCGATACGAAAGTAACGGAATATTTGTGCTCGGGGTGGGTTTCTTTTCTTCTGACAAATTTTCTTTTTAACTAGCCATTTTCGACGGAATTTTTTAATATCATTCAAAAAGTATTGTTGTACTGAGCTTGAATTTGAAAAGATATTTCACCTGTGATCATTTTTCGTAAAGTTATGAGATTGCCATTTCGGCCAATTTGGGACGATTAACGCGTAAGCGGAGATTTAATCCGTCTTATAAATCGTTTCAAATTGGTTGAACGAAGCTTATTTGCCATAATTGATTTGTTACTAGGAGCGAATTCTATTCTTTTGTACTTTATATGGTGTGTGGGGGGATGATTTTCCTTTAAAATTTTCAAATTAAAAAAAAATTCATTTTGTTTTATTTCAATTAATTTTTTTAAATGTTTTTACTGCTGCTCCATAAATCTTAAAGGCAGTCGGAACATTCTGGGCTTCGTCCTGATACGAGCAGTCTTGTTATATTTATATGAAACAACAGGTATGCAAAGGAAATAGATAGACAGCGTTCAAATTCAATGACCTCTGAGAGTGTACCCAGGGTATACTACAAAAATTAATGTTAACGTATTAATTAACTAGATGTAATATTAATATTTTTAGGTATAGAATTTATAACTTCTTTAGTGTTACGAATAAATAATTTAATGGAAAGTCGAGTTCATTAAAAATTGTTCAGTTTACTTATTGTCATTATACCAAATAGCATGAGGACAATGTCCCTTTTCACTGAACCTGGAAATAGAAAAAACCCAAGTTTAGGAAAAATCTGTTGAATCATAAAAACGTTGATATCTCGAAAGTTAGCATTTTGAGGGGGCAGATTATTGGGCGAGATTCCCAACCTAAAATGGGGGTATAATAGCACCCAATCGCTGTGATTGAATTTTTGGTACACGGCAAGCGAATACTAGTTTTCAAAAATAAAGCGGTTCAGATCAATATTTCCCATATATATTTTTATTTCAATTTTTGAACTTTTTGTTCCTTTTCATGGACTCAAGATTCCGTGGTAGCAGATTATCGCCCAACTAAACTATAATTTCTCTACCCCTGATTTGTTATGAATATGAATTAAGCTTTTTTTCACTGATGGTTTTTGGTGTTGCCATCTGTTTGATCTGTTTATGTTTCGAATGGCGTCAACATGGTGTTCAAAAGTTTTGTCGATTGTAGGCCATTGAAACTTTGCATGCAAAATCTCAGAAGGTCATAAAGCTTGTATACAATCAGTTTTTCATTGCTAGTAAAATGTCCGGTGACGCTGTCAAATTTGTGCTTAAAATGAATCGTTCGTACGTTAGATTTTCTGGTGTTTCAGGGTAAAAAAGAGAGGTTAAGAGTAGAAAACTGGTGCACCCGTAAACGAGTAGACCATTTTGAATTATAGTTTTAAAATAAAATTTATAATATGTTTAAGTTATATTTTAAGGTAAAACCCTGCTCTCAGGTCGGTCTCCAGCCGTAATTTGGCACCGATTTATTGTTTCACCCTCCTAGAGTTGTTCAAATGGTAAAAGCTGTCGTTCTTTTTGCGTTGCGTTATCGGTTATTTCTTATAGATGTTTGAAAGCTCACTCCGAAGCATCGCAGACTTAATTTTCACCCTGGCGTTTTTGTTTTGAAATCTTTACACATGTTTCCTTGCTGCTTCTCGAATCGACAATAGGCTGATTATGATTTCAGTCTGTCTGTTTCTGGTGATGATGTTTTCAGTCGCAAGCAGAAACATTTTGTTTGCATTGCGAACCTCGAAATAGTTTCGAGCCGTTTTTAAAGCCTTGCAGGCAAATGCGGAAGTAAGAACTAAAACGGTTTCTCTGTTGCGCACTATATTGGCGTTTCTTTCTCGCATGCAGGAGGTTTTTTGTTTGAGTATCCTTTAGTACAGCTGGTGATGCGAAGCGTGTTTTTAGTACAGCTGGTGATGCGGTAACAAAAAAAACGCAGTTTGTTATCTGGAGAGCATGTTGATATGCAAATCTTCATGCGTGATAATTGGTATTTGTTAACTCCGTGACTCGAAATTAAATTTTTCATTTATTTTTTTTGCGCAGGTTCAAGTTTTTTGTGGAAAAAAAATTACCTCTCAGAAATTTTGAAGTTCAACACTCGAATAAGCGTTCGAATGTTTGTGTCAAATGTTCGAACTCTTGATTTGAACATTTGTTGCAACACTAGTATGAACTATTTTTTTTCCAACCTAAGTTGCAAATATTGTTGTGACAAAATGTGTTCATTTTGAAAGTGTTCATTTTGATCAATAACCAACTATTAAGTACAACCAATGCTAAGGATTTCAACACAGACTTTTATTATTCCGACTTTCATAACAAAAGTAACGGAATTTTTGTGCTCGGGGTGGTTTTTTTTCTTCAGACGATTTTCGACTTTTTAACTAGCCGTTTTTGCCGGGATTTTTTTTAGGTATCATTCAAAAATTATTGTTATCCTGAGCTTAAATTTGGAAAGATATTGCACCTGTGATCATTTTCTGTAAAGTTATGGGGGCTTAAAAATTGCCATTTCGGCCAATTTGGGACAATTAACGCGCGATGTATTTCACGCTATTTACGCGTAAGTGGAGATTTAATCCGTAATAGAATTCGTTCCAAATTGGTTAACGGAAACTTTTTTTGCCATAATTCAGTTGTTACTAGGAGCTAAATTTGTCACTTTGTACTTTACATGGCGTGTGGGGAATGATTTTCACAAAAAAATTCTCAAATTAAAAAAAAACTTCTTGATTTGATTACGCTTAATTTTTTCACGTTATTACTGCTCCATAGACTGCTCTATAAGTTGAGGCCTGTTAGTTGGTAGTTTTTGTTTTCAAATTGAATGTTACTGCTAATGCGTCATAATTGGCGTGTGTCACTTGAGAAATTTTGTTGACTCAAAGTTTTGCTCATTCAGTTTTTCCCAGTAGCGTTATCGGTCATATTTTTGCTTGTGTATGCGAAGTGCAACTTCGCCTCTGTTTAAGACTCCTTTAGTGGTTTTGAATCGAGGGTTCAGTCGAATAACTTTTCCGCTCAATTGATGTAACCTTTTTAGTATTTGAAAAGTATTTGAATATATCGTAGTGGTATTTGTTACCTCTCCTTTGGCCCTCTTACTCCGTGGGCCCAACAACAGTAACGGCTGTCGTATCTTATTTCTCCGCGTCTTGAATTTTTTTTTGAAAGAGTTTGATGGGTCTTATCTACTGCAAGCGACTAGAACAACTATTTTCCACAATAAAATGCTAGTTTCTTGTTATTTTTCGTCTTTTTAAGTTTATCTTGAGAATCTCAGAGGAGTTTGAATTTTTTGGTTTTGTCCCGACTTTTCGAAGAAAGTGACGGAAAGCGTGAAAACTATACCTAAAAAGAGCTTAAGCAATGGTTAAATGATTTTTGTACCTAATAACGAACTTCCCCCTTTTGCAATAGGTAGGGGCTTGGAATAGTTAGAGATTCGATTTGTTTTCTTCATGCAAGTTTCGACCTTTTATTTAGCAATTTTGATGGAATGTTTTCCTTACCTTGTTTTCTTGAATAGCCATGTCAATTTGGCGTGATGGTTTTGCCATATATATACGTTAATAAACTACGTCAGTACGTTTCAATTAATTAACTACTCTTTGCAAAATAAAGTAGCTTTTATTTCTTTGCTATTACAAACGACCTTCATAAGTAGAAATATAGATTTGAAGTAGCTTTCAGATAGTATACACGATGGAGTCCATGGAACTGGAGAGTCTCTTGCAGCAGGCAGAACAGCTGTCTGCCTCCATCGGGGGCACAGAAGACTTCCCCCGACTGGAGAAAAACATGTGGCAGATCCTGCAGAACAGTAGTGATCTCTGGACCAGGACTGGGGCAGTGGGGTCTACTAGTTCAGCTAAGGCCAGTGTCCTGTTAGGGGCGAAAGGAGTGGACGTTGGACAAATGCAGAGTCAGTTGAAAAGACTTGAAGAGGTAAGGGATTTTTTTAATCTATTATAATCAGCATCATCTCCAGCCAAAGTGATAATTTCACAACTACTGTCTATAAACCATTTTTGTTCTAGTTTTTTTTGCAAGAAATCCAAATTGTTTCATTTTTTATTAAAATTTTTTTGAGTGGCAGTTGAATGCTTCATTTTTCTAGCAATGATTACGTCTTATTCTAGTCTTGAGGTAACGTTTTTTTTTTCAAACGGAAAATGTTCGATTGGAAAATTTTTTCGTTCGTTTTTGAGTTTTTTGTTGGCTTAGACGCAACAGTACGGTCCTTTCTGGTAATTTAAGCAATTTTTATGAAATTTAATATCTTTTTGATGTAATCCGATAGTTGTTTTGAAAAAAGACGTGATATACGGTTTTGGTACGCATTTTTACATTTTTGTTTTTCTTTTCATTCTCTTCTCGTCATTATAAAGCAGTATATGGAGCCTAGTCTTCAAATTGTGCGCTTTGAAGTGATGATCAAATTGTGTGAAGTATGATTTTATCTGATGCAAAAAGTGTAAAAATCAGATTTTTTTCCCGATTTTTTCAAATGATTCCCTCGCCTGGTTTGAGTTTTTCGAATGTGTTCCTATGGATCTTTGGTCTGTTAAAGAAAGGCTGGATTGTGCTTACTCTTGAAATACATCAGAGATGTGGAAAAATTTAAAACATTACGAGGCCAAACTGTGCTTTTTGGGAAATGTAAGCGGATTCCGCAACAACGACGCTCCCTTTCTTCTTTTGTTCTTTCATTTTCTTTGGTCGTTCCGAAAAAATTTAACATGTTTAAAGACTTGTCTCTGGAATCCAGGAACATACAGACACATAATTGTGCGCCTATCCAGTGCAAAGTTTGGCCTTGTACTGAAGTCAGTTTTTTCACATCTCAAAACCACTGGTATATGTTTTTGAATCATCATTGGGTTACCAACTCCGTTTTCGTATAGTTGAGTTTTTTATTTTGATTTAAAAGAATTCAGTTTTTGGTCTATCACTTCTTCACCTCATATTGGGTTGTGTGGAAATTCTGCCCAAGTATTATCGGCTAAGTTGATGCTCCGTAAATTTTGTTTCAATGCTATTTCAACTCAGGCAATTGTCTTCCTCCAAATGAACTTTATTCGAGACAATCTTAATGATATTATTGTTAGATCTAGTTTTTCTCTTCTTTTTTTCTCTAACATGTTTCGAATGAGTAAGTATTTTAACGTTTTATGCCAGCTTACTTGCCATGCTCTGTTTTGAGTAATGTAATTTGACGTGAATATCTGCCTAGCTTTTGTTTATCAGGGACGTCATCTTTTAAAATAAAATTTTTAAAAATGTTTGAAGACAGTGGTAAAATAAGGCTTTTTTGTAGGGTGTATCGAAACACCAGAGCAGTTAAATCATCAAATAAATAGACCGCCGTACGTTTGTTCATTTTAACTGTTCGTTGCTTGAAGCAAACAGGTTTTTGTCTCGTATTATGCGAGCTATCTTGCCATGTTTTGAGTAGTTTCAATTAGCGTAGTTTTATTAAACTCTGTTAAAAAAACAGGTGTTGCCAGCCCTGATGAACACAGACGCTAGCCAAAGCTTCGCGCTAATTGAAACCACTCAAAACATGGCAAGCTAGCTGGCATAAAACTAGACAAAAAGCTCTTCTTCCTAAACATTTGTTTTGAAACTCCTCTTGTTGGTCAAAATGTAGGTTCCAGTGTTGGAGACAGTATCAGTAGAGTGGACTGAAGAGCAAGACATGGAGTGTATTCTCAGGAGAGAGAGACAGAGGATAGTGGTGGGCTTGATTGAGGAGACCTCGAGGAGGGTGTTGGAGGACAGCCACAGACGCCACTGGGACTGTATGATGAGACAGTGGCACACACACAAACAGAACATACTCAACACTCTAGTTGGTAAGTCAACGAGCGGGGGTTAAAGACTTTGGAGGAAAGCGTTATTCTTTATGGGGGAGGGGTGGGGTTAGAGCTATCAGCCCCCCCCCCACCACCACAAGTTTGAAGGGGTCAATTTTCTTAGGGGCAAGGGTGTTATTTTAAGCTTAGACAGCTCTAGTTAGATAAGAGAGCCTGTTAGAATGAACGAATCATCGTCTTTTCCCAACCCCCCTCCCCCACCTGTCAAATTTTTTTTTTTTTCGTAGTTCTTTTATGTGTGATTATGGCAAAACGCATGATATTACGATGTAAAAAATGATGAAAAATTTTGTTCACAATTGTTAGTTTACTCACTATGCCACGTTTCATTGCATTATGACAACGTTAAAGTAATTTTTAATTTTGATATTGGATCTTTTCCTATCTAGCATCGCAAGACGTGATGCGGGATCTGAGCGAATCGACAATGGGTGTTCACTCTCAATTTGACCAACATTCAGACTCCTCGACAACCCAAATGAACCTGACGCGATCTAACTCATCCTTGCTGGCAACTCCCGGAGGAGGCAAGGATAGACACGTAGCGTGTCAGAGGAATCTGACTAGATTGGAAATGTTGTATGCCAGGCAAGTGGCGTGTCTGAATGAGAAGCACGTGCAACAGGGAACTATTCCAAATGCCGCGCTCATGTTCAAGGTCAGCTCTCTGCTTTTTAAAGCTTTTTTTTAGATCGATGAACGTAGTTCAGACTCTTATATTGGTCGTGATGATTTTTTTCTTAAGGAAACTCTTAAAACTTGTTCACGCTAAACTTTGATTTTTCGCGGTTTGACTTCTGATTTGTTTTTAAGTTCACTTCATTTCCTTTCTTAAAAGGAAGACAAACTCCACTATCGCTGTTCGAACAGCGAAAGTGTAAAGGTCACGAAAAACCTGACCAACTTCTATTTTTGAAAATGGAATTATTTTTGTTTTCCCAGCTGAATAAAAATTTTACCTGCTGATCCATGTTTTTTCGAATTGCGTCAATTTTATCGAAAAAAGTCTATTTATTTTCTCAAATTGGTTTAATTTTATCAAAAAAGTTAATATCTATCAAAACGAAGGTCAGTTGGAGTAACACACATGATTCAGATGACAAAAGATTGGAGTTCAAACCCGGCGTTTTCTAATCAATTTTTTTGCAAACTGGAAATTTTTAGTTTGCTTGAACTATCGTTTTTGTTTATTTTATTGCACGAACTCTTTCTTGGTTCAGCTATTCTAACATTTGCTATGCCTTTTCTAAAGTCGTAAGCCTGGAATTTAAAATGAATTTGAAAAATTATCAAAAGTTTGCTTCGCTGGCTAATGTGCACGTAATTTTTAAGCAAATGATTAATAGCTCGCGATTAGCCATCGTTATCAATTCATGCAATTAACTTGTCTAACAGTTACTGAATCACTTCCTCAAATCTGCACTTTTGTCAACCATCAGACATATTTTTTTTATCATGCTTGCATTTAATTTTCCGTTTTGCCAGAACTAGCCAATCTTTTGTCTAACATAAATCTCAAATAATTTGCTTGCGCTTTTTTTAACACGCTCTGTAGCGTTGGAAGTTTCATAGATTTTGTTCTCGGCTTTATTAGTGGCTAGTTCTTGCCGTTAGTCACGCGTCCGTGGCGCAGAGGGAAGGACGTCAGATTCCTGAGCTATTTGTCGGAGGTTAAATGCTGCAGTTAGCATTAGTTTTATTTATTGGTGGTATTTTTGCTGCATAATTTTGGCAATTTATTAGCGTCTATAGCTGCATCATTGTTGGCTAGGTTCACATTTGGCCTGCGGTGGCTATTGGGAATTTATAAGCATCTATAGCTGCATCATTGGTGGCAAGAATTCTCAATGGTCGGTAGCGCTGATGCGAGCATGTGAGACTCAAAATCTTTAGGTAGCAGGTTCTAATCTGACGCATACCAAAAGTTTCATTAATATGAGACTTAGTTTTTTTTGTTTCTTTTTTTCACCTTTGCTTTTTGGTTATTTTTACCTGTGTTTGCAAGACGCAGCTTCGCTTTTGTCGAAATTTTTTGAAAGTTTTCGTTTTTTGCTAATGGCTTAAAACTTTTTCGTTCAAATTAAATCGGCTGTGACCGCATATTGCGCAAATCCGGTGTTATCATTTGTACATTTCGGCTCTATAATTGTCTGCTGAAGAATTGTCGGCTTTCTTATTGCTTCATAAGTTTTGTTTCGATGCTAGTTTAACGTTCAGTTCTCTTCTTGGCATGTTTTTTTTAAATGAATTTTATTCCAGACAAATCGCTACAAAGATATAAAAAATTTTGGAAGACCCAGATTATCTCGACATTTTTAAAAACTTTTTTCGACTAGGCGGCTTTTGTCTTATTTTCTGTTGTTAATTGTCTTGCTAATTTATGCTGTATCGCAAGTGGTGCATAGCTCTGCTTCGCTTCTGTATTAAAAACTACGTTTTTTTTCGCATGTTTGCGAAGTGCAGCTTAGTCCCTGTATATAATCAGTTCAGTGGTTCTTACATTGATTCTAAATCACTGGTTGCCTTAGGAGGTGAGTCTGCAAAGTGAGGATGCCCTAACTGGTGAAATATGGGAGATGGTCTCCTCTGTTATCCAATCCCTCTCCTCCTCCCAACACCCTTCCTCTGGCTCTTCCCTCCTCTCCACTCTGGATTGCAGATTGGGAGAGATTGGTCAAAGTGAACTGGTGAAAACGTCTCTGGACTATTTGCACAGGAGGTTCAAGAAGTATGTCCAGACACTGTTGTTCCAGCAGTTGTCCAACACTTCTCTTGGTAAGTTTTGATCAACGATTTACTCGGTTGTTGTTCGCTCTTACTGATGAATGGTCTTTTTCAATTGCTTAAAAAGTAAAATAAATTGGTTAGTAAGCTGAGATTGAACCATTGAGATTCGACATTTTTTTCGAATTCGGAAAGGTAATATGGAGGAAACAAGATTAACCAGGATAATGATGATGAAGTTTGCAGAAACGAAATTGAGATTTATTCCGAAAAAATCCTTCTTCAAATGAAAATGAAACGATTTGGGATCAATCAAGTGGAATGTTCCCAGTGAAAAAACATACTATTATAATATAACATGCTGCTATTCTGTTTGTACTTGAACTGGTTAATTTTACCCAGTTATACGGGTTAAATAATATTTAATTAGAGGCGCCTCAAAACATTAATATTTTATTAGAGGCGCCTGAAAACGGGTTGCAAAGTTCTGCGGCGTTCTCGCAATGAGATTTCATTTTGATGTAAATTTTTTAAGTTTTACAGTGAATGGAATCTAAATTGCAAACAATTAGCAGATTTAATTTTCCAATTTTTTTTTTACAGGTGGAGCGCCGAGTGTAATGAAGCTAGCTAAGGCATACCTGAACACCGCCTTCAAATCCCTCCCTTCCTCCTGCTCCTTTGAGGACGGAAGAGTGGACGGGTTCCCAGTTTGGGCTTTAGTCTACGTCTGTCTACGATTGGGTGACGCAGAATCAGCCCTGGAAGTTGCCCAGAGAGCACCCCAGGGTCTGGGTGATTTGCAGCCGGTGCTGGAGGAGTATTACAGGAATGATAGTCAATTGAGTTATAGTACAGTTGTGGATCTCACGCTCGCTTACAGGTATGTGATGTCTGACTATTGGATTCAGTTTTCGGGATCGTCATCAGTAAAAGGGGTAAACATTCTAGTTATAACTTGAAACGAAACGATCAAACATTCTAGTTATAGTTTGAAATGAAACAAACTATCTTTTTCCGAGTCAGTATTTGGGACAGTTTTTCTAAGTACTTACTCAACAAGCTGAATTAATGCTGAAAACTGGGTTGATATTTAAAAAAACAAGCATTGAACCAAGTTGTTGTTCGTTAAACTCGAAAGCGAGCAAAGAAATGAAGGTAATTATTGGGTGGGAATAGCAGTTTGCCTTGATTTAATTCCTTCCGAATGTGAAACAAAGGAGTTCAAGTAGATGTGTTCACTGATGAAAACCAGGCATAATTCAAAAGGTCTAAATCTTATGAGTAATGAAGTTTTGCTCACCAAAACTCATTTTGCTTGGCCTACGTTTTTTTCTAGAAATAGCGAAATGGTTTGTAGAACTAGTGGCTTGAGCTTGATTGTTGTATTTTTTAGGTCATCATAGTCCATGGCTTTGTCATTTAATGGCTTCTGTATCATAACTGGCACAAATAATTTTCAGTAGCTTTTTGAAAGCGTTTTTGGTAACCTCCGCATCGAAGTTATAGCTTAACTTATCTTAATAACCTTTTAGATTGTTACCAGTCCATAGCAGTTCCATTTCATGGTTACTGTATCATAACTGGGATAAATAATCGTCCGTATTTTTTCAAAGCGTTTTGGTTAACCTACGCAGCGAAGATACAGTACAGTATCTTTCAATAGTTTTTTACATTGTAAAGTTCCCAGTCCATAGCAGTTCCATTTCATGGTTACTGTATCATAACTGGGATAAATAATCTTCAGTATTTTTTCAAAGCGTTTTGGGTAACCTACGCAGCGAAGATATAGTACAATATCTTTCAATAAGTTTTTACATTGTAAAGTTCCCAGTCCATAGCAGTTCTATTTCATGGTTACTGTATCATAACTGGGATAGATAATTGTCCGTATTTTTTCAAAGCGTTTTGTGTAACTTACGCATCGAAGGTACAGTACAGTTTCTTTCAATTAAATTTTACATTTAAAATTTCCCAACCCATAGCAGATCCCTTTCATGGTTATTGTATCATAACTGGGTGAAATAATTTACTGTGTTTTTTTCGAAGAATTTTGGATAATATACGCATCGAAGAAGATACAGAAGAGTTTTTTTAAATAAATTCTTACATTGTAAAGTTCCCAGTCCATAGCAGTTCCGTTTCATCGTTACTGTGTTTTTTCAAAGAGTTTTGGGTAACCTACGCATCGAAGATACAGTACAGTTTCTTTTAATGACACTTGCCAAGCTAGTGTATTAGTATGAATATTCTTTTTTTCCAACCTTAGTCGCAAATTTTGGTGCGGCAATTTTATGGTGCGGCACCCAAATAATGGTGGGGCACGTTTACAGCTTTTTTTAATAGCATGTGCTGTTACATTCGAATAGAAATAAATTTACATAGTTGATGCCTTTTTAAAAAACCAAATGAAGTGAAAAAAGCGATTTGTTTCAAACATAATCACAATGATAACTCGATTTCAGAAACATTTTTAACTCAATATATCTCGCAATTTTTTCGAAATGCAGAATTCATACATAATGTGGCTTTATGCTTCGCAATTTGTTATATGCAAAGTTGGTGTGGATGCCTTTAGTTTGTTATCATAGTTTGTTATATGATATTAATTGCAAAATTGAGTCTATTTATATTGGGTGCTAAATTGTATTGGCAATTAGTTAGCATATATGGCTGCTTGCTTTATTCGTGACTAGTGTTTGTCGGATGTTAAGCTTGAGTAGTTGAGGATAGTGCGTGACACTCAAAATCTCTTGATTGCAGTATTTCGCAGATTCGAATTCTAAACGAAGCCGAGTTTTCGCTATTTCGAGGCTTATTTCTAATTGTTCTTATTTAATTTGATAGAGCTGCTTTCTGTTCGACTTCTCGCGAGTGTTTGTGAAGCGCAGCTTCGCCTGTGTGAATTTTTTTGTTTGAAATTTCCCAGTCCATTGTAGTTCTATTTGGTTTTTGTATCATAACTGGGAGAAATAATTTTCAGTATTTTTCCAAACTGTTTTGGGAAACCTACGGATCGAAGATACAGTACAGTTTCTTTTAATTACACTTGCGAAGCTAGTGTATGAATACGAACCTTCTTTTTTTCCAACCTAAGTCGCAAATATTGACGCGGCACCCCAATAATGGTGGGGCACCTTTACAGGTTTTTGATAGCATGTGCTTCGACATTCGGGTACTATTAAATTAACACCGTTGATGCGTTTTTTAGTTCAGTAAATGAACCAAAAGAAGCTATTTGTTTCAAACAATCACAATAATAAAAACTCGATTTCAGAAATTTTCTAACTCAATGTCTCGCTATTTTTTGAAATGCATAATGTTTACTGATTGTGGCTTTATGCTTTGCGATTTGTTGAATTGCTAAATTAGTGTGGATGACTTTAGTTTATTATTTTCCAAATTACTAATTGCAAAATTGAGTCTATATGTATTGGGTGCTAAATCGCATTGGCAATTTGTTAGCATACGTGGCTGCTTTTTCCGTGACTAGTCTTTGTCGGATGTTAAGCTTGAGTGGCTGAGGGATAGTGCACGAGGCTCAAAAACTCAAAAACTTTTGATTGCAGTAGGTCGCAGATTCGAATCCTTCACAAAGCAGAGTTTTTGTTAATTCCTAGCTGATTTCTAATTTTTTTAATTTAACTTGATAGAGATGCAATTTGGTCGTTTTCTCGCAAGTACTTGGTAAGTGCAGCTTAGCCTCTGTGTAAAATTTTACATTTGAAAGTTCCCAGTCCATAGCAGTTCCAATTCATGGTTACTGTATCATAACTCGGAGAAATATTTTTCAGTATTTTTTCAAACAGCTTTGGGTAACCTATGCATCGAAGATACTGTACAGTTTCTCTTAATATAATTTTACATTGTAAAAATCCCAGTCCATAGCAGTTCTATTTCATGTTTCCTTTTCATAGTAAAATCAAAGCTTTCTGCAAATTGCAAACAAAACGACACTTCAGAACGGATTGGACTTTTGTAAGTTTTATCAAAATCTATTCGCTAGACTTTAAAGAGTAGTCTGAACGTTCAGGTCTTCGACTTGATACGAGCAGTCTTGTTTATGTTTTTTAAATGGTATAAAAAGCAGGCTTTTGGTGCTACCCAAAAATTACGACGTATATATTTTTTGTTGTAATTACATAAAGCATCTCAAATTATCATCTCCTAGCCCCGCCATGTATTGTTTTCTATCAAATTTTGTCTTTTTAAATTACGGTTTGTTAAATTATCTTATACCGCCTTGTAGTTTGAAAATTTTCCCATTTATTCAAATAATCTCCTCAAAGGTGTTCTTTGTAGATTAAGCAGTATCGAGTGAAAAAAGACGAGAGGTGAGTGAAATAATGTAGATATACTATTGTGTTTAGGCGTAGTGTGCACAAAAGTAGCGATTTGTTCAAAAGAGTCGTCTACTGTGTGTTAGGCCAGTGTGACGTCATGGAGAGCCACTCTGCCATCTGTGACTCAGTCGAGGACTACCTCTGGCTCAAACTCAGCCAGGTACGAATTTAATTTTTTTTCCAGGTACGCTAAAAAAACATTGGAAATCACGCCAAATTAGATTTTTTGACTGGTTCAGAAATGGGAAATAAATAACATGTGTCCAAATTTTTATAACACTTGTGATACCTTTTTGTAATCGTTTTTCTGATCGATTTTTTTCCGTTTCTTTTATTATTCCAGGAAAAAGCTGAAAGTTGATTTTTTTGAGGTTTGATTTCTTGTTAAGTTCATTTCATATAAGTTGAAAGGAAAGCAAACTCCACTATAGAAATGAAAAAGTGTAAAGAGTTCTTTTTTCGAAAGTGGATTTTAATTTAAAATTTTCTCAGCTGAATAAAAATTTTATCTGTTGATCCAATTGCTCAAATTGGCTTAATTTTATCAAAAAATTGTCACTCATAAATTGTTCTAGGATTCAATGGGGCCATATATTTTTTTCTGTGAAGATCGAAAATTGATGTGTTTTCAAAAGTCAAGTCGTGTTTTTTTTCTGTTTACTTGCATTCATTTACTCTTTTCAAATTGGCTTTGATCGTTGAATTAGGACTATTTTCGAAATTCTACCGTTATTTCATATTGTTAGCAGCCATATTTGTTTAAATTGTAAGAAATTTTCTTAAAATCTAAATGGTAACCTCGTGAACGGGATTTTTAATTATCCATACAATTTTAAGCTGTATTTGTACAATTTGAATTGTTTTTCATTTAAATTTCTGGTGGTAAAAAAGTTTTCTTGGCTGAAAAGTAAAACTTAACTTAAATTGCTGATTTAAATGGGTATGTATCACTGAGCCTGGAATGTTTTTCCTCTGATCAAATTTGTCTAAATTTACGCATGTCAGATTACTTTTCAAATACCCGAATAGTCAAATTTTAATTCTTGAAAATCCGTTGTAAAAGTCGATGTAATTTTACGTCCGTTGTAAAATGTCGGTACGATATTAATTGGCTTCATGGATTTCGTCTGGATTCATGTCGGCTTAGTTGGCGATGTTTTCTCTGAAGTTGTGTAATACATTAAAATTCATTTCTAGTTCTGATTTGAAAAAAAAAGTTGGGCTCATGTCTCGGTAAAATTAGATGGTTTGATTAAGGGCGATAAACAATAATTCTAAAAAAAATTGAGTCGGATTTTTTTCGCCACGAGTGTTTCAACTAAATTACTATATGGCTATGTTCCCATTGCTTCTCATTTCGGATTTTTTTGTGGTAGTTTGATTTAAAATTTGTTAATAAAATAAAATGGATATTCCAAACGAACATTGTTCTTTAATAAGATTCCAAACTAACAATTTTTGCTAGTTTTTTAGAATTACTTGGCTGTTTATTTCTTTAAAAAATTTGATGTCTTTAAATGCAATTAGGAAAAAGCTTGATATAACAAATGTAGTTTTTCAAAAAATGTCGTTATTTTTACTTTTTTATGCAAATACGCACCAGTTTCAAGTTTTCATTTTCATTACATAGAAACAATTAAGAAAATGATGACCACTTAAATATAAGTAATATTCTAATGGATGTTTTTTGTGTTTGAGTTTATAAAATTTAGTTTTCGTGTTTTTAAATTTTTTGTTGGAAATAATTTGATAGTTTGTTGAAAAGACTTGTTGTACAGTATGAATTCCGATAAAGATTAATCAACTTGATCTTGCAAAGTTAACAGTAAGAGTGTTTATCAAGATTATCCAAGGGTGACAGACTGTTCCAAGGACAGCACCTGCTAATAGATTAATAAGCACCACGAATGACTGTTGATTGACAGATTGCAATTTGAACTAAATAACACGATACGACACTTCCCCTTCAATAGATGAAACTTTAGATGACTGAAAATTTAATGACAACATGTTGATTATGAATTACTGATAAGAAAATTACTGAGTGCTTGTTCCAGGAATGAATAACAATTTACTGACAACGAATTTTTTTCCAACTAAAATTATCACTTAGCAGTGATGGCGTTTGAGTCTTAGTCTCCCAGTGATGGCGTTTGAGTCTTAGTCTCCCGTTTGAGTCTTAGTCTCCCTCTCCCTGGGCTAAATAAGCTAATAGTTTTGTTTATGTTCAAGTTTGTTTCAGTTTTACTTTTAGATTACTTCTTTCCCTCCTTTTCGTTCTGATTGATGAAATCAATCATTACCCCTCCCATTTTGGTCACCGCCGTTCTTTTTCGTCCACTTCTTCTTGATGCTATAGATCCCGTATCATCCTGGCTATCTTCCTAACTGCTTTAGGATACTAGTCTGGTTTTCTTTGACGTTCCTTTCTTTTTTGCCGGGTGCTTGCGTTGATTGGTCCCCTGGATTTGATGTAGCCTGATCCCTTGGATTTCTATCCAAGTCGCCGCTGCGTGCTGGAATGGTTTCTTGGTCGCTTCGACTATCTGCGTCCCGTTGTTGCCTTGCCGTTGGATCTGCTTGTGCGATCTCTGTTGAAGCCTCCGCGGATGGTTGTTTCGTCCGTTTGATCGAAATAATCGGCAGGTTGTCACTGTCTTCTGATTCGGAACCACTGTTCTCAAATCTGCGGCCGCTTTTTCCCCGTTGCTTCTGGGTACCACTCCTCTTTGTCGCTCGCTCTTTAACTTCCCGCGGAGTTGGCGGTGGTACAATTGATTTTGGTCCTGTTTTAGTCTTCTTTGGCTTAGCTTTTGTGGCCACCCCCGATTTCCTAAGCACAACCCCATTATTTAAAGTATGCGCGCTTTCTGATTTAACTTTCGAATGAAGCTGCTTATACCTTTTTAGGTTGCGGTTTCCAGTTCGCTGGAATAACAATCCAGAAGGTCCTGGTTGTCCACTGGGGCCTGCGGATTTCAAAATTGACGGTTCATCGTCTTGGTTGATTGACTGCTCATGGGTCAGTCGACGTGCATGGCTTCTGTGGTTTATGTCGTACGCTAGATCCGATCGTACTGCCCAGTTTGTGTCTGCGGGGTGTGGCATATCGTTTGCTTTTCGGTCGGCGTTATCTAAACAAGCATATTTCGTTTTTATAACCCGCGACCAATCCAGATTTTGCAAAGATGGTTTTTTGTAAGGTTTCGTAAGACGGTGTTCGCTTCTCGTCCATGATGCGCCTCGAATGGCGAGATTTTTAATGTAGCATTCTTCGAAAATCTGAGGGCGCCAAAGGCTCTTTCGATCATTTTTTCCAAGGGTTCGGGGTGTTTTTCTTGGACAAACGTCAGGATAGAATTTCTAAGGCTACCTATGGTGCGCTCCTCGCATCCAGTTGTTCGGTGATCATTAACAGGCGATTTTATTGTTTCAATACCCTCCCCATTACAGAATGCCCTAATCTCATTCGTCATAAAACTCGTGCCCTGATCCACATGAATTTTTCTTGGTACTCCATGGTTCGTTATATAGCTTTTCAAAAACTTTAGTATTTTATCAGATCGATTATTTCCACAGACCATCTGCCGAGGGCCAACGAGAAAACCGATCAACCGCCACTAACACATATTTTCGGGATTCATTTAAGTAGTTAATGGGTCCTCAAAAATCCAGTTGAACTGATTCATTTGGTTCCTTCGGTTCAGGTATATTTCCTAGCTGATTTTTTCTTAAGATCGTTTTTAAGTTCTTACCAGCGGCGGTGCATTCGGGACAGTCCTCAGCTATTGAAGCTATTGAGCGGTAAATATACGGGTACCAAACATCTTTGGCCGCATCGAACATATTAGATTTTCCGTGATGATATGCATGAATTCTATTGTTAATCGCCGTTTGTAAGTTCATAGGTATTACAAGTTTTTCTTCCATCCACACTACGTTCTCCTTCACCGAAAAGTCGTTAACAAATTGGGAATAAGAACGGTTCATAGCATTAAATTTCTCATGAATATTAGGATCCTGAGAAACTATAAGGTCGCGAATTGCGCTCAACTGGGGGTCAGAAACATAATTGGACTCAATCAACTTTAGATTAAACAAATCCGGTAAAGAAGTGATTTTATTAACAATCTTGCAATTCCGAGGGATGATTGACTTACATATCGAATTGGGATCTACATGTGGTATTTTTTCACCCTTAAATGCTGAAGGTAACGAAAGTGTAGTATTGATCCGGACTGATTTGGTTTCTTTAGTAATAGCTTCCAAGGATACGGTGTTCTGAGGTAATTCTTCAATTTCATCACTACTACTGTTTAGACTTGGGTGCTGCTGTAAGAATTTCTGCCATTTCCTCTTGTTTTTATCCATTTCGATCCGAGATTCTGAATTTTTGAATGTACTCGGGAGATTTAAACAATTTTCTTTCGATTGAATAATAGCACCAACTAATTTTCCGCGTATTTTGCGTAGCCGTCGGTTCGAACCATGTGTTCGATTCTGATTGGTCGATTCCCGCTCGCATGACATTCCACCCTCTACCGGTTCATTTCGTGACGAAACTTTCAATCTATTTATAGATTGTTTACTTTCCGCTTTAATATGCGGTTCCTTGGATTGGTAATTGGATGATTTGTATCCCCTGATTGCATTGTTCTTATTAAACCCGAGAGCGGCACGAATTAAGTTGATCTTTGCCACAGTAAACATGTTATCATATGTACTAATTGGCGTTGCTTCATTACATGGATGACGGGACAAATAATCTGCTAGCCCAATTTTCGCCCCTGGTTTCTGTTCAATTTGAAAATCAAAGGGAATGAGCCGATCTAACCAACGCGTTAAACGGCTAAACATCGTCTTGTTTTTCTTATTATTACCGTTCAAAAGAGAGATTAACGCGTTGTGATCGGTCATGATTAAAAAATTCTGTCCCAATATGTAATTCCGAAAATACTCAGCCCCCCACACGACTGCCAACATTGTCAATTCATTCGTCGAATATTTCTTTTCCGCTTCGTTAAGGTATCTTGAAGCAAACGAAATCGGTCTCCACCCCTCCGTTCCTAATTGTTCAAGTACAGCATCGAGGCCGTTATGACTTGCGTCGCTCACGATCCAAATATCCTTGTGGATATCAAAATGTCGCAATTTAACAAT